AGGCTACCTACCACCAATGTTCACTTAAGACCCAAGGGCTCTTCAGTCTGCTTATGGTGAATGCTGCCCAGCCTGGGACTCACCTTTCAGGGCAGTGAGCTGCCCTCTGGCCCAGGGCAGGTCCAGAAATGCCATCTAAGCCAAGGCTGGAATTGGGGACCCAAGAGCCCGCTTGGTGCTCTGCTCCACTGTGGCTGAGCTGGTACCTATCTTCAAGAAAAAGTCCCCTTTACTTTTCCTTCTACTTTTCTCAAGCAGAAGGAATCTCTCACTATAACCACCACAGTTGGGAATGTGCTGGGTCTCACCTAAAGCCAGCCTGTCTGAGTCTCACCCAAGGCCCACTGTGTACTACCTGGGTATTGCTGCTGGTTATTCAGGGCCCAAGGGCTCTTCAGTCAGCAGGTGATGAATCCTACCAGCACTGGGTCCTTCCCTTCAAGGCAGCAGATTCCCTTCTGGCCCAGGGCATGTCTAGAAATGTCGTCCAGGATCTAGGGCCTTGATTAGGGGCCTCATGACTCTGCCCAGCACCCTGTCCTACTGTGGCTGAACTGGTATCCAAGTTGAAAGACAAAGTCCTCTTTACTCTTCCCTTTCCTCAAGCAGAAGGAAGGAGTCACTTTTATTGCTGTGAGCTGTGTTGCCTGGGATTGGGAAGAGCGGTGCAAGCACTCTCTGTGCTGCCCTGGTTGGTGTCTCACTAGGTCATGTTCCCCCAACTAGGTTGTGCACCCCCGAAGTCCACTGGCTCTTCAGCACAGCATTAGGACTGCCTAGGAGTTGCAATCCTTGTGGCCTAGACTGCCTTTCAGATTTATTTAGGACCCCAGAGCACTGTAGCCAGCGGAGGCAAGACTTGCCAAAACTCGACTTCTAACCACTAGGATGGGTGATTCCCCTTTGCCTAGGGCTGGTCTAAATGCTCCCTCCATCAGCATCAACTGAGTTCAGCCTAATTTTGCTTTCCACTCTGACAGAGCAGCACTGGGTTCCCCCAAGCACACAGACTATCTTTCTGTGCCACATGGCCACTGCCAGGGAAAGGGAGAGGGGTGGCATTGGCAATTCAAGACCATCTTTCCTACCTGGTTTTAACTTCCTATCACTGAAAGAGGTACTGATTAGTTCAGCCACTTTGAGAAGCAGCTTGGAGATTTCTCAAGGAACTTCAAATAGAACTACCATTCAACCCAGCAATCCCATAACTGGGTATATGCCGAAAGAAATGTAAATCATTCTACCATAAAGACACGTGCACACGTATGTCATCACAGCCCTATTCACAATAGCAAAGACATGGAACCAACCTAGATGCCCATCAACGGTGGACTTCATAAAGAAAATGTGGTACATATACACTATGGAATACTAAAAAAGAACAAAATCATGTCCTTTGCAGCAATACAGATGAAGCTGGAGGCCATCACTCTGAACGAATTAACACATGAACAGAAAACCAAATACTGCATGTTCTCACTTATAAGTGGGAGCTAAACATTGAGTACCCATGGACACAAAGAAGGGAACAATAGATACTGGGACCTACTTGACAGTAGGGGTTGGGAGGAAGATGAAGATCCAAAAACGACCTGTCTGGTACTATGCTTATTACCTGGGTGATGAAATAATCTATACACCATACCCCCACAACACACAATTTACCCATGTAACAAACCTGCATGTGTACTCCCTGAACCTAAAATAAAAGTTGGAAAGAAAAATTTCAAGAAGTATTAAATACAAAGTAGCATGCCATGAAAAGTCTCCCTGTGCTACGAATGGAATGCCAAGTTTACTGTGTTTTACATTGCCACATAAAAGGGAATCTGAACAAAGCAAATGGAGAACATATGCCAGAGCCGAGCATGGTGGCTCGTGCCTATAACCCCAGCATTTTGGGAGGCCGAGGTGGGTAGATCGCCTGAGCTCGGAAGTTCGAGACGAGCCTGGTCAACCTGGTGAAGCCTCATATTTGTATTATCTACCAAAAATGCCCCCAAAAAATTAGCAGGTGTGGTGGCACATGCCTGTGGTCCTAGCTACTTGGAAGGCTGAGGTGAGAGGATTGCTTGAGCCTGGGAGGTGGAGGTTGCAGTGAGCCAAGATCACGCCATTTGCACTCCAGCCTGGGTGACAGAGTGAGACCCCATCTCAAGGAAAAAGAAAAAAAAAAAGAACATATTCCAGAAAGGAAGTAATCCAATGAAGTCATGGGAAAAAAAAATGGCCCCACCAAAAGATGAAAAATATAAAAAAGATTAGAACTAAGTGTGTTTTTGGAATACCCAGGAAAGGAGTAAAAAAGAAAAGTAGAATATTTACAGGGAATAAAGGCAGTACTATTCTGCTGATGGCTCATATTGGCTAGGGAGAGCTAATGGTTAGATTTTCATGAATTATGTGAGTTTTTAAATACAGTCGTTATTAAAAATTAAACTATGTACTTGCAATTGAATGAACTGTGTTAAAATTATACTACAACAGATTTTATTGTTTCTGGGAAGATGATCAGTGTACTGTACATTGAAGCTCATTAAATAAAAAAAATTCAATCTGATAAAAAAGCAGTTCTTGGCCAGGCACGGTGGCTTACGCTTGTAGTCCTAGCACTTTGGGAGGCTGAGGCGGGTGGATTACGAGGTCAGGAGATCTAGACCATCCTGGACAACATGGTGAAATCCCGTCTCTACTAAAAATACAAAAATTAGCTGAGTATAGTGGCGTGTGCCTGTAGTCCCAGCTACTCAGGAGGCTGAGGCAGGAGAACCACTTGAACCCAGGAGGCAGAGGTTGCAGTGAGTTGAGATCGTGCCACTGCACTCCAGCCTGGGTGACAGAGCAAGACCCCGTCTCGAAAAAAAAAAAAAAAAATACCTGCAAGAGTATCTGTGGTATATACAGAGGAGTAGAATTGCTGGAGCATGAGGTATGCCAGTGTTTAGCTTTACGAGATAATGCCAAACTGTTTTGCAGAGTAGTCATAGCTATTTTTTCTTTCATCAGCAGTGGAAGCGCATTCCTCATTGCCTTGCATCCTTGGTAATGCTTGCTATTATCTAACTTTAAAAGTTTTGCCAGTTTAGTGGTGTGAAATGTTATTTCATAATGATTTGAATGTACATTTCCTTCATTACAAATGAGGTTGAACATATTTGCATGTTAGGGGCTTATGCTTTTGTGAAATTCTAAATTCTTACTCACTTCTGTTTCTTTTTTTTTTTTCTTTTAGAGATGAGGTCTCACTCGGTTGCCCAAGCTGGAGTGCAGTGGTGCAGTCATAGCTCACTGTAACCCCAGACCCCTGGGCTCAGGTGATCCTCCTGCCTCAGTCTCCTGAGTAGCTTAAAAGAAAAATTTGGTAGAGACCGGGTCTCACTGTGTTGCCAGGCTGGTCTGAAACTCCTGAGCCCAAGCAATCCTCCTGCCTTGGCCTCCCAAAGTGCTGAGATTACAGGCATGAACCACCGCACCCAGCCTTGTCTTTTCCTTTTTGATCTATGGAGATTCTTTGCATATTCTAGATGCTAATAATTTGCCAACTAAATGTATTGTGAAGATCTTCTTAGTAAGTAATTGGATGTGGGAGGGGAGGAAGAAGTAGTATAGAATTACTCCTAGGTTTCTAGTTTGGGAAACTGATTGGATGATGGTACAATTAAACTAGGACATAGAATAGAGGGGGAGAAACAGATCTCAGGGAGAGGAGAATTAATTCGGAGTTTAAAGTTCCTATGGGATATTCAAGTGGAGACATCTTAGAGAAATTTGGCTATTGGGCTGGATGTGGTGGCTTGCACTTGTAATTCCAGCTTCTCTGGAGGCTGAGGTCAGAGGATTACTTGAGCCCAGGAGTTTGAGGCTGCACTGAGCTATGATTGCACCACTGCACTCAGAGGAAGACCCTGTGTCTAAAAAAATAAGAGATTGAAAGAAAAAAAAAAAAGAAATCTGACTATAGGGGTTTGGAGATTAGGCCAAGCTCTGTTATGCTACATTAGTTCTGTAGGATCTTACATGATGAGCCTTTCAGAAGATTACAGTTGGAAGGAGAGAGAGTGGTAATTCTCCAACTCATTTGTCTTCTGCCCATCCCGCCTTCCTCTCCAGGCCATGGATTCTCCAATCTAAATTTCTTATGAAATAAATATCCCAACCAAGTGACACACAAGACACTTCATCTTAGTTAATAATTACTTTATTAACCTTTTGGTCTTTCAACATTTAGATAGTCTTTCTCAATATTTCCAGGAGAGTACTTCATTTTTATTTTGAAAACCATTCAACACATTTATCTTACATAACATGCAGAGCATATATCTATCTGTATTTTTAAAATTTTCCTGTTACTTGTTGATACATAGTACATAATTACATAAGTTATTCCATGTACACTGAAAACAATATAGGAAATATATACATCTAAGACTTCTACTTTGTACAGTCTTTCATTAAATAAGAATATTTACATACATTTTCAGATGTTTCTACCTTCCTGTATGTATTTGGAATTGTATGTAGGTAGCCACTGAAAGAATATGGGCCCCTTGGGAGGATGGCAGTGGAAGTCCATGAAGTAAAGGGCATTCTTTAAAAAGCAGATTGTATTATCATTTTGATTGCCTTTTAGTTATTTGAGATTCTGAGAATTCTGATAAACCCCAAAGCAGAAAGATTCCTTAGTACCCTTGGAAGATGGGAAAGGTGAGGGAAATACCGGAAGCAGGGTTAGGACTTGGCACATCCACTAAGAACATAGCACCGCAGTACAGCTTACATTATAGTGCCAGGGTAGAGTTATTACTGAGTAGCTTAGGATGATGAACATTGACCTTCCTACAGGAGTAGTAGCAGCTGATTTGTGACCATGATTGGTCACCTTTTAATGGAACTGCAAACTAAGAACAATTAGGGCTTGACATATACTCCATGTAGGGAAGTGATGGGAGAGGCAGCCTCTGTGTGGTCCATTCTTGGCAGCACTTTGTTTCCCTCTGGTTTTAGGGAGATCTTTTAGACCTGTAAGAAAAGAAAGGGGACATAAAAGTGTGATATTCAGACTCTGACTTCAGACTGGGTTTTGCTTGGAACATATTCAGTTCATAGATAACCCAAAGATCCTCAGGTAAAGGATGTGATGAGCTTTCCTGCTGCTATGCATTCATTATGGATTACAGGGGCTGCTTTTTTTTAAAGCCATGAAAGACTTGGGGAAAATGTGTCAGTTTTGCTTAGATAGTTATAGCTGTACTTTAAGGTTGACAGGTAATCAGGGTAACTTCTAATACTTACCACGTAAGATGGTGCCTCAGCATTTAAATAAATGGAGGTAGGAGAGGGCATGGTGGTAACATACTTTTAAACCAGTGATTGCAAAGCAAACCACAATGCAAGTATTTCTGACTCCCAAGATTGCCATTTCCTAAGAGCAATTCTGCAAGCAAAAGCAAACCTACCTTTCCTTGCTAACTGCTTTCAGTAAATTCTTGATGGCCTTAGATTCTGGATTCAGACACCTCTTCTCACCCTTCTTTTTCATTGTAGCACTGCAGAAATAAATAGGGATGAAAATATTTAAAACAATGTTGGGTCAATAAAACAGATGGCATACACAGTTCTGAAGTCCGACATTTAAGTTGCACTCTGCATGTTTTTGTTTGCTGTACATTAGTTTTATAATCATCATAAACCCTTACTGATCTTTTGTTATTATCATTACATATTTAATACAGTATATAATTACAACCAGGGAAGTGATAATCAGATGGGATTTCACTCACATGATCTCAACATGTGGACAAAATTGACTTGGAGGAATAATTTCAAGTTTTTCTAAAGACCTTGGATTAACAGGTTGATTACTAATGCTGATGCAGGTACAGCGTACAGTTCTTGAGAGAGGTATTCCTGTAGGAAAAGAGAAAGGAACAGCAGAGAAAGTTAGCACAGTGTTCATGTTAGACATTTAATGTAGACTGGTGGTATTTAGCAGAACCTATATCCCCATATTAGCAAACAGTCACTTAATCTGAGGAGGAATGAATCGCATCACAACACAATTGTAAATGATTAAATAGTTGATTATCTGGAAGAAAAGAATTGCAGCTTATTGATTATAAAGTCAAACCCTTAAACACTGTTCCTGTGGTTCATTGAGCTTAGTTAGGTAAGGAAGTATCTATCTCATCTCTCTCCGCATTCCCTCATTTTCTCTCTCTATCCTCCCTCTTCCCCATCTCTTCTGTCCTCCTTCCCTTTTTCCTTCTCTTTCTCTTATTCTATTTGTTTTTCTCACTTCAATTCACATAAGTTTTATGATCTGAGGGAATCTCTATTTATTTCCCTCTTATTTATAAACATGCAGTGAAACTTTTACAAATACATTATTTCTGTATTTTTAGAATTTATACCTATTCCTATTTCTCATTTTACAAATTAAGTATCCTTTGATGTTCCTTACCTTGAATACCACTTAGAGTCAGAAAGACAAGGCAGCAAATCAGAATGGTAGTTTGATTCATGGTGCTGAGACTGGAGATTCCTCTGCTGCAGGCTCAGAATATGTCTAAGCAGTTGAGGAATGTCTCAGAAAACGTGAGGCGAGTGTGCCGTATTTATCTGCAAAGGCATTTTCCCTCCCTAATTCTGATTGGATAACATTACAGTTGACTTAGCAAAACCTGCTGGCTGTTCCTGGGGAAGTCCCATGTTGCAAAATCGAAGGTATTATGTTTGTTTATTGTAGTCTACAAGTATGGAATTTCCCTCTGCCCCTCTTTTTTTGGTAATAGTGAATTAGGTTTCACTTTCCAAAACATGAACTGTTTCTTGAAAAAAAGAACTTAATTGCATATAGAAAAAAACAAAGGTTGCAATCCATTCTAACTATGCTTTTTCTCAACACTTAAACTTTTATAGTTAATTTCAGAGGCTATTTTTAAAAATATCCCCAGTAATAGAAATTTTTCATCCTTTATAGGTAAACCTAATTTTTTGGTAACAGCAAGTTGTGCCTGATTATTAGAACAGTGATTTTACCTGGACAGTGCTCCTTGATCAAATACTATAAAGTAATAGGATTGGCTTGCTCAGACAAGGTCAAAGATATGGAACTGGCAAGTTTTAAATAATTCAATAAATGCTTTGTTCATTCATAACACCATTAGATTAAGTAAACAGCTTCCAACATAACTATTTTGAGGGAAGGCACTGCTCATTTGGGTATCTAATTTCTGGTGTGTTAAAACAAGTTTCATGTCCTACAGCAGTCCCTGAATGAAAACATCATAAGATGGTATCTAGGATGGTGGGAGAAAAGGATTCATAGCTATCTTAGGGTTATTGTAAAAAACAAAGGGTGCTTTTTGAGGAAATGAATTTAAAAGGGGAGGTATGCATAGAGACAGACCTTGGGAAAGCAGCTTGAGACAGGAGAGAAACAGGTTGATTTAAGATGGGGTTCAACTGCAAGAGACTGTTAAATGCAAAGGAAAAGAAAAAATGTGTCAGCCATTGAGCTAGTAACAATGATAACTGAAATTGGCACAATTTTAACTGGATGATGAATTGTGGCAAAACTTAATTTCTTAGCATTCAATAGTACTTGGCTGATTATTTATAGTAGCCAGCAGTAGAAACACATGATACTCATATAATGGAACACATGTTGAACCTGAAAGTGGAAATTTAACAGAATCCATGGATATAGTGGTCCTTGGTTGTATTCTTTGCGAATGATTAATAACAGGGAATCCAAGATGAATTACTGTTTCAAAAGCAGGCACCACCCTGCAATGAGAGATCTGAGGCAAGTGATATTTAGAACCTAGGAAAATATATGGGAGTTCTTTTCATAGTCAGCTGGGCTGCAACAATGCAGGGATTGGTCAGGGAATGGAAAAGCTTCCATCCTAGGATGAGGCTACTGTACCTGGCAGATACTGTCTCAGAACCTGGTATCAGGGGCCAAGAATAAAGCCTGTATCTGCAAACTGGGCACACACAAGACATGGATCCTCAAATGCAGGAACTTCATCATTGGAACAGAGAGTGAGTTGCTTGGGGCAAATGGAGTTTGCTAGAGAGCTGACTCCCATGTTAATCTGTTCTAGGGACTGGAATAGAGCTAAGCTTTCAAGGGAATAAGTCAGCGGAATTAGCTGTGGGAAACTGGAAAGACAAAAGAGAGGGAGGTGAGGTAGAGACTGACAGAACCCGAAAGACTTTCACCTAGCAAAGAGGTGTTCCTTCTGATGAGAGAAAGGCTTATGAGAAATAGTGACATGGAAGGATGCTTCCATGTCTGTTTATGCAGAACAAACATTTGCCTGTGAATAGAATGCCAACAAATTTCAGAGAAATGTCTGACATCATGAATGGAAGAGGCCCGGAGAAGTTCAAGATTAACCAATCAAAACAAGAGATGGTGATGGTTTTATTTTAGTTAGTATCTGAGTTGTCAGCTAAGATGTCTCCATATAGAAGACAATGTAAAAAGGAGATACTTGATAAATGGACTAAAAATCTGTTATTAGGGATAAAATATTTGATTTTTACTAAACATTGTATTACATTAACTGTGTGCCAGACATTGTTTGAACTGCTTTATGAATATTGACCATATTGACTCATTTTATCCTTATAATTTCTATCCTGACCCAGCCACTCTTCTATTTTTTTCACCATAGATTATTTTTACCTGTTCTAGAACTTCATATAAATAGAACCACTTAAGTATATACTCTTTTGTGCAAGACATCTTTTGCTCAGTATGTTTCTTAGATTCATCAATGTAGTTGCATGAATTAGTAATTTGTTTCTCTTTATTGATGAATAGTAATCCATTGCACAAACATATCAGTTTGTTTCTTGTTGATGGACACCTTGACTGTGTTCAGATTTCAGTTATTATATATAAATCTGCCACGAAGATTTTTGTGTAATTTTTTTTATGGGCATATGCTTTCATTTTGTGGGGTACATATGTAGCAGTGGAACATGATCGCTTACTTTTTTTATTTTAAAAACCTAAGTGATCATGTCACTCTGCTGCTTAAGACCTCAAACAACTTCCACTTAGAATAAAATCTAAATTTCTAATTAAGCTGCTTTACTAAGTCCTCTATGATCTGGGTGCTACCTGTTTGTCCAACCTCATATCATTCCTTCTCAACCACTACAATCCGGTCAGTGGCCCATACACTGGCAGTTTTCTCCATCTGGAATGCTTTTCCTCCTGTTTGTCACATAGAGTGTTCCTTCTGGACATTTAGATTTTAGCTGGCTTGTACCTTCTCTTGTCACACAATCTGAAGCAGACGTGACTTTAATTCTCTACATGGCATTTCATACTATTTGATATTCAGTTCATTCTGTTTTTTTAGTGTAATGTCTGTTTCTCCACACTAAAATGTATGCCCCAGGAGAACAGGGAACTGAAATGCATATGAGAGGCATTTGGTAAATATTGGATAGAAGGGTAGATGAATGAATCTTTACAGACTTTAAGTAACAGCATACAAGGATTGTATTTCAAGAAGTATTTCTGTTGGTTCATCAGATTTCTGAATTTGAACATGAGTATTATTGTTTTCCTTAGCTTTAAGAACCAAGTTTAATTTAAGAAGACTATAATTTCCCCAGAAGTTAGTTTAGATTTAGTTAGGTAAAATCAATACAGATATTCTCAGCTAGCTATAGGACAGACTCTTCATTCCAAGAACTCTGGTAAATATAGAGTGGTGCCCCCAAAAGCTTCTTAATTATTCACTGCTTTTTATCTGTAATTAAAGATTGAATGAATGAATGCAGGAATGCAAATCTCCTCAGTGCATATTATGTATATGGCCATGGACAGTGTTAGAAGAAGGAGAAGTAGACTTGTTCTCATTATTTTCTGTGCACTTTGTGTAGGGAACTAAGCTAATCTCAGGGAATACTAGAAGGGATAAGATCCAATATTTATCCTTGACGGGTTTACATTCTAATTGGGAAGACCAAAAACTATGAAACAATAAATATCAATAAGAGAAACTTTATGGGCCAGGCATGGTGGCTCACGCCTGTAATCTCAGCACTTCGGGAGGCCAAGGCGGATCACCTGAGGTCAGGAGTTCAACAACAGCCTGGCCAACATGGTGAAACCCTGTCTCTACTAAAAATACAAAAAATTAGTCGGGCGTGGTGGTGGGTGCCTGTAATCCCAGCTACGTGGGAGGCTGAGGCAGGAGAATCGCTTGAACCCTGGAGGCAGAGGTTGTAGTGAGCCGAGATCACACCATTGCACTCTAGCCTAGGCAACAAGAGTGAAACTCCACTTCAAAAAAAAAATAAAAAAGAAAAAAAGCCTTTATGATCAGTACCAAATGAGTGGTATAGAAAATAAATAACGTGGAGGTTCATAGGAGACTATACGTACTCATTAAGGTCAGAAGTTTTCAGAAGATCCCTCAGAAAAAAAGACCTCAGATGAGCCATAAAGTGTGAATCTTACTTAAATAAGTGGCCAGGAGAGGAAAGCTTGTGCAATTACAGATAAATGTCATTAAAAAATGGCAAAGGGGGAAGCCAACTAACCAGTCAGGAAGATTGGTGGTCTCATAGGAGTGATAATGCCTTGTTAGGATTCTGTAAAATCTGGTCCTTAGTTTTTCCAGTCCAGAAATTCTCATTTTTCCTAGTCATCCACGGTAAGCATATTCTCAGAGAGTTAACTCTGCTAACAAAATCTAAAAGAGACTAAGATGAAAATTAAAAGACTGTGTATCCATTTACAATGAGAACTTTTTCAGTGAGTAGGATGATTGGTTTTGGTATCCAAGTCACCCCTTTCCCAGGATCAGATTACCTATGAAATTGAATTAGTATCAGAACAGTGCATGGTGAGCAGAGTCAAACGAAGGACCCTTCTCGTTTTAAATGAGGGGTCTGCTCAGGGTAGAAACCTGACAAATGTGATCAGCATGGAAAAATCATTTAGAAAAAAAATCAAACTTTTAGAGACAGTAGCAAGACCACTATTACTTATTTCACCCAAAACCAAGACTGCATGTGTCATTTAAATAAAAATCTAAATGATAACTCTTTTTATATATTTCTCTCAATTTTTGCAAGGTTTATGGTATATTAACTTTCCTAGAATTCACTGATCTGAGTACAGTTTTGAAAGAAAATGAAAATCAAGGAAGTATCCCGCTTTAGTTTCTGTTTCAGTTGCTATTGATTTATCTTTAAGCCTCTGATTATGGCATCAGGCCAAAAAAGACAAGCATAAAAAAAGAAACAGTCTGCCCTGACAGACTAATGAGCATAGACCAAGGAAAAAATGCTTTCCCGGAAACTGTTGTGCTTAGAAGAAATTTTCTAAAAAGTGAGCAGGAGGACATCAGTGATTTCTGTGGACTGGGAATCCCCTCAGCTGGTGCAGAATGTGCCTTGGAAAGTATGGGAGAGGAGGGCAAAGCTTCCCCTTCATAGTTTTCACTCTGAGCTCTCAAAAGATTCCCTCAGCTCACGGTGTTTG